ATGCTGTTCAAGCAGAATTTGAACTCTGGACTCTAATTTATTTTTACCTTCTACTGGCCATTTCTTGCTCTTTTCGGGTAATGGTTGAAAAAACAAAAGTGGCTGTTGCTGCTGTGATGATAAGGCTGATTCTACTTGAAATGTTGGTGATAATGGTTCATTTTCTTTTAATGGTGATGGCAGTGTCCAGGCTGGTAGTAGTAATGGTGATGGCAGTGTCGGGGCTAGTTATAATAATAGTGGTGTTGACGATGGAGAAGGTGGCAATGGTTGCTTGAATAGCTCTATCCACTCGTTCTATGACATAGGTGATGGTATGGGTGTGTCCCCTACTTCTAATTCTTATATTGAAGGCTGTGCTAGAGGTTCATGTCCTAGTTCTATTGGTGCAGATACTATCTCAGTTTATTTTGCCTCCGATTGAATTAGATTCTGATAAATTGCTTCATCTTCCTCTTCAATTCCTTTTTCATCGAAAATTCACCATAAACAACCATCCGATTCAAGCGGTGATACTAGTCGCGGTACTAGGATAAAATTCTTGCAGGCTTTGTCGAAGACATTTTCAAATACACCTGGCATCTGCTCTGTAAAAAAAAAGTTTTTTGCGTTTAAAATTTATCTTACATCATGAGCCAATTAACTTGGAAAAACTAAAAAATATCAAAAAATATCTTTTTCTAACATTTTTCTTGTTTCTTTTACTGCTAAAACTTCCGTTGATCGATTTATTGGCCTTGATGAGTTTTCTTCCAGCAGCTGAGATTTTTTAAGTGATTCTTCAATATTTTCTTAACTATCGTTATGCTGTAAAAAAAAAAACAAAAACAAATTGGAATACATTAGCGAACAGTATGTAAGCAATGCTAACCAAATACACTACAAATCGTTTAAAAAAAAAAAATACTATTTTCTATGTGGGTAAATGTTAAAATAAACACTAGGAAATATAGCAGAAAGTAAAAAGATTCTTTTATCATACATTGTAGTAAAAGAAAATCAAAGCAATCATTGTAATACAGATAACTTACCTTTGCTGCTGTGTATGTCTCATAGGATACTCCAGTTCTTCTTGTAACTATATGGCACACTACTTGTTACTGCTTATTGTCATGGCAATTTGTCTCAATAACCTAACTAATTTTTTTCCTCAATGCTGTTGCAGGTATAAGAATTTAGGTGAAGCTAAAATGAAGTAAATTATCTAAGTTTGCAAAAACAAACTAGAAATTTTGAAAGGCAATGTGAATTTAATATGTGTAGTAGATAGAATGAATTATGTAAAGGAAAAGTAATTTTTAGTTTGAGAATAAAAATAAGTGGATGGTGAATGTACTAAAAAAAATTATTTTCACTCGGAAAATTTTTCAGAAGGATAGTTTTAGTCAAGCGCGTGTAAGGAAAAGTAGAAATAATTTATGAAATGCAGTTTGTATCAAACGTATGTAGATGGATATAATAAACTGTGAGAAAAAAATATTTTTAGGATTTTAAAATCGAAGCACTCTCACCGTTGTTGCGTTAAATCGCGTACAGAAAAGTAAAAATAATTTGTGAAAGGCAGCTTAGCTTTAGTCAAACGAGTATGAGAACACGTAGGAATGAGTTCACTACGAAATTTTTTTTAGAACAATAGTTTCAGTCGAGCGAGGATGAGAAAAAGTAGAAATAATTTTAAGAATCCTGTTCGAGGCGTATGCGTTACCACACACTAGGCTCGGATAGGTTGATTGGGAAGACACAATAAAACACAATAAAATTAATCAGCATAATAACAACTTTTAATGTCACTCAAAGGCCAAGAAAAATCACAGTTAATATTCACAAAAATAGTAAAGGTCAAAATAATACAGGAGAAAAGAAATAATGTCTATAGTCTTGAAGCAATGAACTATTGAAATATATACAAGCGAAGAATGTAGAAAGAAAAGAGTCAAGTTGAATAACACAATATGTAAACATACACTGGCCTTGAGCTCGCAAGAGAGTTTGAAAGTTATACAAATAAATGTTAAAATGAAAGCACTGATTTAATATAACTGATTGAAATATTGATTAACGAAAAACAACTGTCTGTAGAAATACACAAGAGTTTCACTGAATCTTGCTGTTGATAATCACTGTTAGTTCAATGAGATTAACTATTTGAGCTGGTCTGCAGATTATGCAGTGAGCAACTTAAACAAAGCACTAAGTGCACTGCACTGCACAACTGAGTTTTGTCCACTGTATTGTGAGAGTTAATCAGAAGATTTACACTAGCATTTAAGGTGATGTATGCACCTTTGAATGCTAGAGTCTGGCAACGTAAATTAAGAGAGTCTATCTTCGACGAGAGCTGAGTATAATCTGGCGCTTGCAGTATACAAGGCTTGCCGCGTGAATACGCACACACACACCTGCAGCGCGCCAAGTCGACCAAGCGCACACGCACAGAGCGTTGGGCTGACAGAGACTACAAGTGTACACAATGTACACAAAAGCCGGGCCTACTGTCGGTCGCTCTCATTTCCAACATTCCGCCTGCCGTCAGTCAACGGCTGACAACAGCCGTAGACCGGCAGTGGCACTAACTTGTGAATTGGTCTCCTGAGCGCGCCCACTGAGGTCTTGAGAGTCACCACTCTAACCAGGCCACTTTCCTGGTGGTAGAGTCTCACTAGTTATAAGCACCAATGAGACTGTCTTGATGTCATGAGCTGGAGTATGACACTTGGAGATTGAGTTTAATTTAAGCAAGTACTATGTAGACCACTGCTTCCAAAACCTTTGTTTTTGAGCTTGGATTAGCTGCCAGCGAGTGAGCCTTGCAGGAGGTAAATCCAACAAGCACGGCTCTGGTGGTGAGTTTAGCGCCGATCCGACTGAGAAGTGTCCTGGAGTGAGCGTGTCTAAATCCTCTGAATCATTAGTAAGTGGTTCCAGTGGTCTAGAGTTAAGCATTGCTTCGATTTGAGTGAGCAACGTCGTGATCTCTTCAAGCGTGTAAAGAGTCTCTCCCATAGTCCGATGGAGATGGTGTTTCGTTGACTTGACTACTGCCTCCCTTTTTCCTCCCATGTGAGGAGCAGCTGGAGGGTTGAAGTGCCATGACGTTCCATCTTGGGTGAGCAAGGCCGATAGATGAGAATTTTGACTGATTGCTTCTGAGTATAACTCTTGAAGAGCCCTGTCTGCACCAACGAAGTTCGTCCCACAATCAGAATACAACTTAAATGGACGTTTCCGACGTGAGACAAATCGCCAATACGCTGACAAGAATCCTTCGGTAGAGTAATCTGTCACTGCTTCGAGATGCACAGCAGAGGTCGAAAAACACACGAACACACACATCCAACCCTTGTATGTCTTCGACCCTCTGCCACGACAAGATTTGAGATGTATTGGACCTGCGTAGTCGATACCTGTGTAAGCAAACGGTCTGGAGGGAGTCACCCTGGCCTCGGGTAACTGTCCCATGAGTCATTGTGCTCTTTGTGCCCGGTACCTGGCACATTTGTCACAGTAGAGGATTCTAGATCGGATGGGGGCCCTTCCACCGATTATCCAAAACTCTTGACGAGTTTTGCTAAGAGTGAGCTGAGTTCCTCCGTGTAGAGTTTGCCGATGAGCCTGATCGATGACCAAACTGGTGAATTGAGCTTGACGAGGAAGTAGGGCCGGATGTTTTGCATCAGGCTTGGCATTCATGAGTCTGCCTCCCACACGCAGTATGCCAGCATCATCAATATATGCCATCAACAGGTGGAAAACGTGGCCCTTTGGGAGAGAACCTGATTTGAGCATCTTGATTTCCTCCTTGAAACATTCCTATTGAGTTAATCTGATGAGTAAGAGCTTAGCTTGAGTGATGACTTCTGCAGTGACAGCTATGGATGATTCCTGGTGTGTGAGTAAGGCTTTGAACTTGGCCCAAGCTAGTAAGAGGGTGGCTGTGATACGATAGAGTTTGTGCAATGTGGAGCTGGACTGAGTGAGCCTGAGTAGGAACTCTGAGTCTGAGACTGATGACACCAATGCTGACACCTGACGCGCCTCTGTCTCATCCTCCACCTCGACGTTACTCGGCTGCAGAGGCCAACCATTGTATCATCTACTCTGGTCCATGCCACCAGAGCATATGCTCAATTAATTTTGAAGTGAGAATCCCTCTAGAAGCACAGTCAGCAGGATTCTCCTTTTCCGGGACATGTCTCCAATGCGCTGCAGGGACCAGATCCTGAATTGCTGCAACTCGATTTCTGACGAAATCCTTCCACTTATTTGAATGAGAAGAAATCCAATAGAGTGTGACTGACGAATCTGTCCATAAGTGAATGTTGCTGATATTGAGTGTGAGTTGGTCGGTCACATACTTAGTGAGTTTAGCCAGGATGAGAGCTGCTGTCAACTCCAACCTTGGTATTGACATCCTCTTCAGTGGTGATACTTTCGTCTTGGAGCAGACGAATAAGCTTGACGTGGCTGAGTCTGACTTTATCACCAGGTAAATCACAGCACCCATAGCATCCTGAGACGCATCAGCAAAGCCATGGAGTTCCACTGCAGAAGAAGGATGTGCTCCAAACCATCTAGGAACCGTCACTCCGGAGAGTTTGGCTAGATCATCTCGTATTTGTAGCCACCTCTTAGCGAGAGCATCTGGTATGGGTGTGTCCCATGTAATTTTGAGTAGCCACAATTCCTGAATGATGAGTTTGGCTGCAACAATCACTGGAGCAACTATTCCAAGAGGATCGAAGATTTGAGATATTTCTGAAAGAATTGTTCTCTTCGTTGAAGTTTGACTGAGAGGCTTGAGTGTGCACTGAAAGGTGAGATTGTCTGAAAGTGGTTTCCAAACCATTCCGAGTACTTTAGCATCGCAGTCATCGAGAGAGAGTGCTGATTCTTCACTGGAGTTTGAGTAACTGAATCCTGGCGAGTTTGAGTGCCACTTAGCCAGGGGCAATCCGCCCGTCATGCACAGCTCCTTGAGTTGGAGGGCCTGCTCGCTCAACTCATCTGGAGTCAGTGTCCGCTCCACCAAAAATGTCGTCCACATATCTGCCACTGGTGAGAATCCGGGCCGCCTGGGGGTAACGGTGCCCTTTATCCTTCACCAGCTGCAGCAGTGAGCGTGTGGCCAGAAATGGAGCAGGCCTCTTCCTGTAGGTCACGGTGGTGAGCTGGAAGTGAGCTTCCTCGTGAGTTTTGATATGCCAGATGATTTGCTGAAGATCCCAATCGTCTGGATGAACCTTGATCTGACGATACATCTTGGAGATGTCCACAGAAAAAGTCCATTTGAATGTGCGTAACCAGAAGAGTATATCTGTTATGTTGGGCAGTAGATTAGATCCCGTGTGAGTTATGCTGTTGAGTAAATTTCCAAAGGAAGTGAGGGCTGATCCATTGAAAACCATCCTGATTTTGGCGTTGTCTCCATCTTCCTTCAATACGCCGTGATGAGGCAGATAAAAATGAGGCTTGATGTTGAGCTCATCTGTAGGCACCGGTCGCATATGGTCAAGACTCAAATATTCATTCATGAAATCTGTATAGAGCTTGTCGTACTTGTCGTCTGTTCTAAGCCTGGCCACTGTGTGATCGAAGCATTTACGAGCACGGTTGACTGAGTTGCCCAGCAGAGATGGAGATTGCTTCAGAGGAAGTTTCACCACGTATCTTCCGGTTCTATCCCGAGAGTGAGCTCGCACGAAGTGTTCCTCACACTCCTGTTCCTCTGGTGTAAGCTGCGAGCTTGACTTTGAAGGGACCTCTTCTTAAATCCAGAAGTTGATGAGTAATTCCTGGAGCTTATCTTCTATTTTTGAAACGATATGGTGAGTGTGACGATTAATCTTTGTAACAGGCTGGTTAACGCAACCCGATAAAATCCAACCAAACAGTGTACGTTGAGCGATAGGTTCGGATAAAGAACCTCTGAGCAAATCTGAGGTGATTATAGCTGAATAGCATTCAGTGCCTAGTAGCAAGTCTATGTCTCGTGGCAGATAGAAATGGGGGTCAGCTAACTCCAGAAACTCCATATGCAGCCACGATCTTGTCTTACATTGAAAAGATGGTAGTGGAGCTGTTACTCTAGGCAAGATGTAGAGCACCACATCGACGCTGGAGTCAGAATATAATGAAAACAATCTGAGTTCTACTTTACCAAGTGCTTTACTGACTACGTTGCCTCCAATGCCCAGGATACAGATGTTGGACTTCGTGCGCGTCAGCTGCAGACGCTTCACAGCATCTTCCAAAATATTTGATAATTCTGAACCTTGATCGATCAAACTGGAGCAAAAGGGTTTTTATCTCAAAGATCACTCCAAGTAGGAGACGTCGTCCTTATAAAAAATGAGCTTACGCCTCCGGGAAAATGGCCCTTAGATCGGATCATCAAGCTTTACAAGGATTCTAAGTCGCTTGTTCGGGTAGTAAGGGTCAAAACTTGTAGTATTGTTCTAGTAAGGCCTATACATAAATTGATTTTAATGAGAAAGGTGGAAGAGCTTGAATCAGCTTATAGGGTTGAGAGTCATTCTAACAGTGACTGATAAAACAATTATGTATTGTATCGGCACTTTCTTCCTTTTTTTTTTTTTTGAGCGTTACTACTTGTAGTTCGTTATTAAAAACGATCTTTGATTTTCTTTAATTATTAATATTAATTTTTTAAGTGAAAAGGGTTCCACTATTTTCTAACTTAGTTTGTAAAAACGCTTCAGTAACGTTTGATTAACAGAATGTTTTGATAAAATGGTAAGTATAGTTTATTTTAATAATTTTTTTTTTCTTTCACTTGCGATCTTTTTTATTGATGGCCATCCTTACGGACTGCTGCCCATCAACGTCGGGACTACGTGCAACATTATGAACCTTAGTCTTAGCGTAGTTGTGTAGTGTTACTGTGCGTGTGCTAGAGTGTGTGTGGCTGTATAAGAGCTGTCCGCGTCGCCACCGATACCAAATTGTACGCGCGCGAAACCTTATGTAACTACCTATAGGTATAAATGTATATCTACGTTAGTGGCTCAGCGCAGGCTGCCTGCGACTGTAGCCTCAGTCTGCTACGTTTGCTCGTACTAGTAAGTCGCTATTTGTATTACGGTACTAGACCACTAACTTATTTTAGAACTCTTTTTTACTTGTAGATACGTGTGATTGCGCACGAGCAGTTCTTCGTGTTATTTCTTATTGTTAGGGCGACTCAATAGCATAACTATTTAAGTTCAATTTCCTTATTTTACTGTTATTTAGTGATATTTACGTTTGTTAGAAAGAATTGATCTATTTTCTTTCAGTATTAAGAAATTTATTAAATGATTTATTTTTTAAGCATTAAATAGTTAGTTGACTCTTATCTTAACAATGGAACCGCTCTGACTGCTAATTGGGTGCAATTGGACACAAAATGAAGAAATTAGCGGAATATATACCTTACATAATATGTCAACGCTCTACACAAAGACCGTGTCCTGTTTGGCCCTTGACGAAAACTATGCCTTTTTTTGCTAGTCTGGGCAAAAACCCTTTTTGGGGGTTATTAGGGTTAAAATACTTTTTTGCATCCAAACGATAGTGTGCTCTTTTTTTAGCTTCGACGAAAACTATATCTTTTTTACATCCTTGTAAGATTATTTTTTCTGTTCTAAAACGAATACTAGAATATTTTAGGGTAGTAAACAGTATTAGATCAGCTATTTTTCCCAAAATAGAAAATAAATTAAGAATACAATAATGATTAAATATGAAAATATTTTTAAAAAACGTTTTTCATTATATTTTTAAGAGCAAAGGCATTAAATTTTTCAAGCAAATAGTCTTTTACAGATTTTTAGTGCTACCCGGTCCTTGACTGGTACTGCGCTAATCTCACTGAACCTTCTTTCCAAGCTTTTAATAATCGTCTACTTAAAAATGTTTTCATAAAAATTGTTGTATTTAAATATTTAAAAACTTTACACTTAAAGCATTCAGTTTTATCATTAAGCACTTATTTTTGTAGCACAAGTTCTTATTTTTAAAAACCTGGATTTGCAGTGTTAACCTAGCAGCATTTCTTGTACTTTAGTGATTATGTAAATCACGATGCACGACGTACGATGCTCACATACAGGCTGTCAAATAGGGAGGGAAAGCATTGTTAGTAAATATTTTACCTTTACTTAAACCCTCTTCCTATATGCATGAATTTGTTTTGTTAACAACTAAGGTGTGTCAAAATTGTGTGCATTACACAACATAAGAATAAGAAATTATAAACATAGTTCCAAGTTCTGATATAAAGGGCATAGTCTTCGTCTGGAATGGGAAAAAAGCATAGTTTTCGCCCGGGCTCAGGAAAAGAGCATAGTCTTCTTCCGGGCAACGCTTTGATATTTTATTTTCAACAGATGTGTATTTTCAGCCTACTTGTCATAAATATATAACTATAGTATTTAAAATTTTTTTTATATATCTTACTATGGATAATATTAGCTAGTGAGTTTTCTTTGCACTAGACAGGTAGCTGTAGAGATATTTGATGCTTTAGGCTTCGTAGTTATTCAAAGTGTTTAATAAGCTGTGCTTGTTGAGAAGCCGTTTTTTTTTATATTTATAAGCTGGGCAGATGAACAATATATAGTACAGCTTTTCAGCTGTGTTGTAGTTGCAGAGCGTGCAGTTGTGTATTTTTTTAGTTTGTAGACGATTTGGTTGACAAATCTGCCAATCGTGCAGCAAGTGTTCAAAAATCTGATATAGGAAAGCGGGATCTGTGCTGACAGGTATTTTTTCTTAAGTTAGTTTACCAGCTATGTCTTTTAGGTGGGAATCCTGATCATACTGGGTATCCTTACAGATGTTATCTTTTATTAGTGTACCCGTGATTACAGGTATGGTCAGCTAAATAGTGCTGATGTCTGTCATTTATTGTAAGTACTCGTGACTTGTCTTACACAGCAGCAAGCATAGTGATAAGTACCAATTAAATTCGTTTCTTGTTTCCAGGTAGTTTATTTATCCTTATCAGTTTTGCAACATTTTATTTGGGTACCGACTGTGATCTATCTAAGCAAGTTTACACAAGTAGTTGAATGTCTTTGAGGCAACCTGATTAAGTAACTTTACGCTGCCCGTGTCGAGTCTCAATATGTAGCCTGATGTGTTCGTAAGTACTTGAAGGTACCTTTTGAGGAAGATATTTTGAATTTGTTATGATTTTTGTGCATTGTTTAGTGAACAGACTCTGTACTTGATAGTACGTCCTGAGTTTTTGAAGAGAAGCACGCCTGATTTTCCAGCGTTTAATTCTAATATTTTTTTTTGCAATACTTATATGTATCTATTTTACTGATAATGTATCTATTTTAACCAAGAGGTTAACTAGAACCTCAGGAACAGTATCAAACCATCAGCAAATGGTAATTGATCTGCAAAGAAGCTTATGTTTTTATGACCTTCCTCTTCGAAGAACATTGTTATGTCGTAAGTTAAGCCGTTACCCACTCTGCTATGAATGGTCCTTACAGAGAAAATTTGATAATAGCATGTTATTTTATAATTAACAACTAATTATTAATCGAAATGTTTATTTACTGTACATTAATTCATTTGGTTTAGTTATAAATTACATTAATACATAATTTATTTAATAAACTTATTTTTTTCGAAAATTTAGAAATTAGTGCGTCTCAGCAGAGCAACTTTCCTATGGATTAGTATATATTCATTTACTTATCATTAAATTTTTACTCTTTCAGTAAATAAACAATTTTTTATACAAATTTTTCATATTCATTCAAAATTTTCAAAAATTAAAAAGAAAAAAATTTTTTTTTTACTTTTTAAATACAATAATTGATGTTCATTGAATTAAGCTCTTTCATTATTTTGCCATTAGTGATTGACGTGATTTTTCAACTTTAGGACGTTCTTTACATAGTTACCGGGGGAAAATTTCAGAGCAGTGAGAGAAGCGCAAATATATGCAGCAACGCTGGCAATTATTTTTCTCATGTGGATGTACCTATAGACGTGCTTTTACGCATGCTCGATCCCGTCTTTCTAAATTTATATAAAAACTAACTCGTAGACTTATTTAAAAATTGACTAGGTTTATGTAAAAGTCAACTTTCATACTTAAAAATTTGAGAGATTTCTACAGATCATATAAATACAATTTTACGTGATTTTTCCGGAAGGTAACGTGTTAAATTAGTTTTTGAAAATTAAATATATAAAAATTGGTACAATTGAACGATCTGCAACTTTTTGGATATTTCTTATGCTATTCTATATATAAGTTTAATGTGAATAAAACCTGTTCAAAAAACTTATGTATGATGAACGTCTTAAAGGGACATTCATAGGCATGTGATACTAGCTTATTAAAGAAAGCAGTACTACAGAATGAATTTTCCTAATTTTTCAGGTACAATTACAATTTAGGTACTCAATATGGACTAGGAATAAGTATACGAGCGTACGTGATGGATGTGGGCGTGACATTAGAGATGAAATTAGTGTAGGCAGGAGCAAGTTGTTTTGAAATCATCAGAACACTTGACAAAAGCGCACAGTCTTGCGCACTTTATACTTTGCTACACAAGCACCCACTGTCCACTAAATTTTTTTTATTATTTTTATAATTTTCCCGCTTACATCTGCATAAATAATTGTATCGCAGAACAGAATTTTCTACTGAGTCAAATGCTCTCCGAAAATCAGTGAAGGCTGCAATCAAGTTGCCTCGTGGTTTTGACAGCTTTATGCATACTCTTGCCTGTAGGATAGAAATATTGTCCTAGCAGGATCTACCGCTTCGAAAGTCAGGTTGACATTCTGGTTGAACATAATTTTTTTCGCACTAGTAAGAGAGTCTACCAGCAGCGATAGGGGTAAAGATTCTGATTAATGCATTAGTTAATCAGATTCCTCTTTAATTAGCAGGGTCGTATGAATCAAATTACTTGTACAGGAGTGACCTGACCAGAACACTATTTTTTTAGTACTTCCTTCTTTTCAAGCACCATACAGAAAAATTCTACAATATACAGGATCCCCTCTATTAGTAAATTCTTAAAAAAGAGGCCAGGATGTCTGCAGTCAATATACGGTGTTGCCGAAAAGAGCCTTTCTCGGTAAACGGTTAAATAGAATTTTTTTTATATCTGTGGAGGATAGTAAACAGAGTGTATATTTTTTTAAGCCTTTTAACTGCGGACCAAAAAAGTTTTGAATCATTGACATTATTCAAGTGTCATTTTAAAAAACTGTTTTATTCTTAATTTTTAAATTTTAAGAGTTTTCTACAATCAGCTTTATAGCTTTTACAAAAATTTCTTTAAGCTGGGAGCCACCCTTCTTAGTCCATCTTCTGTTTAAGTATCTCTGTTTGTGGTTAAATTCTCGACAATCTTTCTCATACCAGGGCTTGTCTTGACTTTTATTGGTATTAGGGGTGGATACACATAGAGCGCTCTACAATTAGTTCTCTGGCTGTGGACCTGATTGTTTTGATGAAAGCATTATTTATCAAAGACACCTCACTGTTTAAAGGTAAAGAGATGTCAGCCATTTAGTTTTGATGCTCCAAACCTTAGAAGTCTTTCCATTTGAGTTAAAGTAGCTTCTGGTTTGATAAAAAGGGCCATGAAAAGTTGGAAAAGATCGATTGAAATATGATTATAACAGATAAGTGGTTGAACTGGCCTATGTTGAGAATCTCAAAGTCGATGAGTTAGTCTCCACTATCTGTACAATTGGTCCAGACCATATTATAACACTAGAACTGTTGTAGCCAATGAAAGGTGAAGTTCCATGGGAATTGGACCTGCTTCTGGCATATTCAGCAACGGTAACCCTAGGTTTTTCACCTTTTTAGTAACGAGCCAACCCTGCTTAGCAACGGCTGTGTGCGTAAAACATCATAAGGCAAAAGAGCAAGACCATTGTAGTAACTCTTCATCCATCTGGTTCAGTAAGCTTAGGCAGGTATTTAAATCCTCTTCTACTTAAATTATTATACAGAAATTATTAGTTTTATCTTAATAAAAGAGATAAGGTTTTGCAGATTAGACTGAGAACAGTTAGAATGATCTAAATTCAACCAAACACAAATTATAAGAAGTTTCTTGCTCTTAACTGTTCACTAAATTGCTATAAAGATTGTGTTGCATGCCAAGATCTTAGAAGATGTTACCAATTAGAGGGTAGCAAATAAATGTAGATCCACACTTGCCCTTTGACTTTGACTTTTAGAGCTGGGCTAATAAATAGTGCACTTAGGTAGGAAAGAAGGGCTGTTTGAGACGATTTCGCATAGCCAAGTTTCTAAAGTGATTAGTTGCAGTAGATTGTAAATAGAGAAAAGTTTTGCAGATTGGAGTTGACCTCTTTATTAGTTAGGTTAAAGAGATTGGTGTAGCCATGGACATTCTAAAATACAAATAAAGTATGCTCTGTTAGAAAAAGAGGGTACAAAGAAAAGTAACTGCCTCTTCTGCGTCATCTTTATTGCACATAATGTCTGAGTTTAGTTTCTTGTAACTTACAAAAGGACAATGCAGATTAAGAACGTCACATCAGTTCCCCATCAATGAGATGGTGTCCCTCCTTTTATATTCTGGCATTAACATAAAAAAAAAGTTTGAAACCCGATACTCACATCTCTTCCTTTACTTTTTTTCTCCATAGCACATGTAATTAGTTTTATTTTATTTCGCGTTCCTGCTGAGTAATTGCACTATATAATGATAATGTATTTCTGGCTACTACCTTTTTTCCGCCACGAGTAGGTATTTTATTTCTACCGTAAAACGTTTAATTATAAGAAACCTGGCTTTCTTATACGAAGAGTTTTGCGAGCAATAAACTTTGTATTTCTTTTTTATGGTTATCGGATATTGCTAAAAATGCTCGAAGAACAAAATCTTAAGATTTTGTTTAACATCTAGTCTACACTATGCTTCTTCGGTATTTTTGAGTGCTTTGAGATGGCTGCGTACGAGTATATCAGCATTGTCTGTTTCCCACTCGTTCTATCTAAAGATGAGTTCATCTGCAACTTCTCCCCTAATCTTTGATTGTATATTTACAATGTTAAATTTCAAATCATAAACACTCACCGTTAAACCTTCCAGAAAAATATGGATGCAATATAATCCATTCTGGATGACAACTTTTTGCAGCGGGGGACTAGGGATTTCTTGTGTTACATCCCAAATTGATACGAATTATATTATAACTAAAAACTATCCGTCCGTAAAAATTTAGATAAGACGTATTGCGGACATAAAGCAAGTTCACATGACTAGAGGAGCATGTACGTTGCTTACGTGCGTGCGTGTGTGTATTAGCTTTAAGGTGAATGCTTCATAGTATACTGACATAAAATACGGCCAGCCTCGTTGTAAAAATGCATGTATGTATAAATAAATAGTTACTTGCTCATTAATTGTTCAATTCTCATAATGTATACTAATTTCAAATTTGTAATTCATACATTACTTCATTACATTCAAAATTGATTGTAAAATCCTCAGAAGGATTAATTTCAAAATTTGAAAACTTATTGTCACAATTCAACTTGTATTTAGCGTTCTTATGTTCCTGGAGCGAGCTTTCATCATCACTGACCCAAAAACTCAATCGCACTTGTCAGAAAAAGCGATTGGTGCTGTTGTATTGCTATTTCCTAATATGTAAAATCATTACATGTAACATCATCGTGCAAGTGTCAACGCAGTCTACAAAAACATCGCTTATTGGTTGACCTAATTGAACCAAAGGCCTCTTTTACTCGCTCTGATGCTATAAAAACGCACCATCAAGAAGAAAAATTGCTCTCTTTACGTCTGCCACCTGTCCTCTAAAATTTTAATCAACTCTTGACTCTCGCGACTCGTGAGTACCTTATACACGTAAGGCATAACGTGTTAGCTGAGGCAACTTGAGGGCATATAGAGAACATCAATAGTATTGGACTACGCTATGGAGCGAGGTACAGCAAAGAAGGCCCACCGAAAGTGGTTGCGGTGATAGCAGAGAACGCAGAAATCGCAACATCCTTCTGGCCACGAACTCTTTCGTGTAGTTTAAGGAAACACTGACGGTCACAGCACGAAGAATTAGGGAACTCGGAAGCAGCAGTAACAACAATCAGTAAAAGGTGTAAGTTATGTATCAGTAATAAAATGTATGCTAAACCTTGTTATAATGACTCGATCAAATTGTATTTAAAAAAACAAATTATTGTGAAATTGCTTTAATAAAGTAATACATTAATTATAATTACCTATATTATTCAAATAAAGATAATTATTCAATACTAAAAGAACAAATAAAACTTACAAGCTGAATGCTAAGAGACCCACGAATGACACTTAAATAAAACAGTTAAGACAATACTCTAAACAAGTCCGGTCATAACAAATTTGCATCCCTTGTGTGTTCTTCAAATCAATGTTTGTAAAAAA